ATATAATTTTTAGATTTGATTCCCTAAAATTATTTTCAAAATAAACTATTATAAAAGTTCAAGTAGGCTAAATTTAAAAAATTGAGTATTTGAATACTATATTTAATCATGAAATAACAATTTTGAAAAAATCTTAAGTGTTTTGAGAGGTTTATAGTTTGATCAAGTAATCTCAATTACGCCGTCTTTTTAAGAAGAAAAGTTCACAATTTCTATTTTATTAATTTAATTTAAATATTATTTATCATAATTTTTAAGTTTCTTCACATCTCTTGATTTTATTGATTTTATCTGATGAATATGTACTTATTTTTATTGATATAATTTTTTTCGTATCCTATAATTACTTTAAGTGATTTAATAACAATCTTTATGTTATCATTCATATACTTTATTGAAATACAACAATTATTTAAATCAATATTTATAAATATATTTCATATTATTCATCATCAAACTGGTATATTATCCAATAATTTTATTTTAGAATAATTAACAACACCTACACATGGATATAATTCTTATGATGTATCTATATCCAACTACTAATAATCGATATTATATTTACAACAGTTGTTGCTTATGGATTATTCTATCTACTCCATTTAATGTATTTATGTTCAATACATACTTCAATTATTATTATATCATTATTTGTAAATTAAAATGATAAATATTTAGCATTTACATCTTTGTTATGATGTGAATAAGTATTACCACTATTATATATTAAATATGTTCTATTATAATATAAATATATACCCATACCCAGTATTATAACAATTCTAATAATTATTTTTCTACATAATGTCTCTAAATCCTATTCCAACCATAAAAGATGATCCACTTATCATTTAAAATGCAAATTATACTTTCCCAGTCTTTGGAATTGCTTATTCACAAAGACAAAAACAATAATTACCATTATTACTAGTATCTGCTACAACTTTTCCACCTTCACTTATTTAACAATTACCATGCTTATAAGTATTTGAAAATGATAATGATTTGTTATATAATTGAATCTAAAAATAATATTATAAATTGATTATAAATATACTTTTTCTAATTGGATTTTATTTAATTTTTCTTATTCTAACTTAAGTTTATTAATTTAATCTAGTTTGGTTAATGCTTCTTGTAATTCTGATTTTTATAAATTTAAATTTTGATTAAATTCCTATTTAACTTTATTTTCTATACAATAATATCAAAATATATTTATTACATTCATCTTCGAATTTCTTCATCAGTATAGTCTTATCCTATTCAAATTACTTTTTATTATCTTAAATTCTTTATTCATGTTATTCTTTCATATTGTTATATTCTTTTTCCTTTTATTCTAATTTATCATTTATCTCATTAAATTTCTACTTAAAGGACTCTTACATAGAATTAACTAAATTATTTTCTAAATAAAATGATATAGCATACTTTCAGTTTCTAAATTTTTATTTTATTCTTATAATTTTATTAAATCGCTCTCCAACTATTTTATGCTACAATATTTTTTCAATCCTATGCTATTATTATCAAATGAATTTGCATATTCATTCAAAATATTCTATAATTTACAACATTAGGACTTTAATTATTCTGATTTAGTTGTTTGATCTTATTATTTAAGCTAAATATTTTAGAGGTTTTTTTCTATCCTCTGAACATGTTATTAATAAACTGTAATAGTCTAATCAAAAAGATTTAATTAGCATTGATATTTTTTAGAGTAATCAATTAATTCTTAAATTTCTTTGATAAAATTAATTTGGTTTTTGTAGTTTTCATCCTTCTAACCACATTTTTAAATTTCTTAGATCATTTCAGTTAGTTAAATGATTAAACTCTTTTCAACTATAATTAATTCAATAAATTTATACTTGAAATATCCTTCAGTATATCCAAAGATGTTTAAATATCTTATTAATCATATTATTGCAAAGATTCTAAATGATTTTGAATTTCTTTCTTGAAAATTGAGTCTTTATTAATTTAATTTGCTATTATTTGGCTTTATGATACTTTTTCTTTTTCCTTATCAATTAACTACTTTAAATCTTTCAATAATTATTCATCACCTAATGCTTAAATTGAAATCTTTTTTATTTAATTTGATTAATTAGTTTTATCCATGCATAAAAATTATTCTGAAATTAATTTATCACTTATTTCATTCAATTTTTTATTGTAATTTTTCCTCATTAATGCTATTTAGTTAAATAATTCAGATTTTTTTTCTTTGCTTTCATTTTTATATTCCTTTAAAATCCTTTCAGTTTCAGTGTTATATTCCTTCCATTATTTATTTACATTTTCAATAGTTTAATACTTTGTATTTGGATTCTCAGAAATGCAATCAACACATGCAAATCTATCTTCAATGTTCTTTTCTTAAGAATCCATGTCAATCATAATAATTTCTTTTTTATGATTACTACAAACTCTACTTAAACTTGGTGTTTTCTATTAATATAAACTATAAGATACTGAATCATTTTTTGTTATAAATTAAGGAATTAATTCGATTACATTATTTTCCATAATATCTTTAATTGTTTCCTTTGTATTCTTAAATGTATCTAATGTCTAAAAGTATTCAGAGTTATTGAATAAAAGCTCAAATTGTCTTTATATTTCATTAATAAAATGATTATCCTCTATTAATTTAGGTGATTTCTATTATTCTTAAGAATACAATTCTGATAACTATTTTATATCATCAAAATAATTTAGTTATTATTCGAATTCTTATAATTCTGATTTTTCTTTTTAAATTGGAAATATGTATTATTATATTTATTTATACATCTTTTCCAAAGAATCATCAATTGATTATTTAAAATTCATAATTTGATCTAAAATGTTTTTATAATAGTTGAGTCTTGCTTGATTCTCTTTAGATTTGATTTCTTTTTACTAAATCTTAATTTATTAGATTCTCTCCTTTGATTACTCAATGGTGGTCACTTTATGGTTATTAATTTTCTCAACTAAACATTTACCACAAAAGAATTATATTTATGCCTTATCTGACAAGTCTAGATCAACTGCAATCAATTCTTGATTATGTGCTTTACATATGGTTTCGGATGCTTCTTGTACTTATTTTTGTGTTAAGATATTCATATTTATTATTTAAATTAATTAATGTAATTATATGTCATTTAATCACCCTTTGTATTTCATAATTCAATTCTAATTCTATCATTTAATTTATATAAATTATATTTTGATAATCATATCAACTGATTACTTTTTTACCAAACTCTAATACTATTTTATTCTTTTAACTA